ATGCCACTCGGTTGGGTTGTTTACAATTGCTTGTCGTTGAAGAGTGATGGTTTGGTCGTTCCAAGATTGCTTGATGTTCTGCCATTCTGTCGTTTCTTCTGCATTTATTGGTGTGTCCCATGTTCTTTCGTTGTCCCATAGTCGTTGGAAGAACAATTTGACTTGAAGGAGACATGGGTTGATCAGTCCCAACGGGTCGTATATGCTGGCCAATGCACTAAGTACTGTTCGACGAGTGACGATGTTGACGTCTTCCTTCGGAAATTTGAGGGTTATTGAATCGTTGTCTGTGTCCCATTTGATGCCCAAGACTTGAGCCTTTGCTTTGTCGAGTCGGTCTTCTTCTGGTATTTGCTCCATGATCGTTTGTCGATGGCTGAGAAATTCTCGAAGATTCATCGCTGCCTTCTTGAATATTTCTTTAGCCGTTCTCATCTTGTTGAGGGCCTCTTCTTCCGTTGAACATTGAAATAGAATGTTGTCGACGTACGTATTCTTCGCCATTTCTTTCGATAATTCGTTGTCGAATTTGGCGTAATGGTGTAATAACACTGCTGCTAATACAAAAGGTGATGAGATCACACCAAATACCATTTTTGTGTAGCGTTTGACGACTAAGTTGTCCGTGGTGATTGGCTTGTTGACGTCGCGCAGCCAAAGAATTTTGCAAAATTGTCGATCTTCAGGAAGCATTTCGATTGTGTGGAAGGCTGCTTGAACATCCGATAGAATTGGGATAACGCATGTTCTCCAACGTATAAGCATTCCGACGAGTGTTGGTAGTAGAACAGGTCCTCGGTACAACGCTTGGTTGAGGCTTGCTGCTCCATTTGGATGAGCACTGGCATCTAAGACGATTCTTAACTTCTTCGGATTGATGACGGCGTGGTGAGGCATAAAAAATTCTTCTTTGTCGCGGCCGGTTTCTTCGATTATTCCTTTCTCTTCTTGGTCGCGCAGATTTTTGTCGTATTTGGCGAGAAGTTCAGGCGATTGAGTTAGGCGTTTGATGTTGGCTTGAAGGCGGCTATAGGCCATATTCCAATTGGAGTTGATAGTCGGTCGAGGTTCCCTCCAAGGTAGACGAACAGTGTAGGTACCATTGGGTTTTTGACGTATTGATTGTTCAAATAGTCGCATGGCTGTGTCGTCGTCTTTCTCAGCCGGGTTCTCCTTGATTCCAATAGTCTCGAGTGCCCAAAAGTTCTCGACGTCATTTTGTCCAATAATGCTTTCTTTGTCGTCGTCGTTAAGTGCCATGAAGGTTTTAGGCGAGTTAGTCGAGTTGAAGCACGATTCCCCTCCTAAAACATCTCCAAAAACAGTTTGAATTTTGTAGAGCTTGGGGCCAAGTTGTTGAAAGCCGGTGACGAATTTCCAAAATTCTCGGATACCAATTAAGATTGACGGAGTTCCTTTAACTGGTTCGACGTAGTCGTCTTTTCCAATGAATTGAAAGGTTTCCATTGGTGTTGAAATTTCGTCGATGGTGTTAAGCTGCATTGATTCCCAGTCGCCATCTTGACGTTTTAGACGAATTGAGACGAGTGGTGAGTGAACTGTCTTCGGATTTTGATTCGCAAAGGTGTGTATGCGTAGAACTTCTTCTGATAGTTTTGGCGGTTGAAGGCGATTGACGAGTTCTTTGGCGATGTAACTTGTTTGGCTTCCTGAGTCGAAGAAGACCATTGCTGGTAATCCTTCTCTTGGACCTCCCGAGCACGAGACGTTGATGATGATGGTCATTAAATGAGTTTTGTTGTCATTTTGTCGTGCATTGAGATAAGTCGATGAGTCGGGAGCTTCATCTTCCACTTCTTTAACTTCTTCAGGCTCCCTTAATTCTTCTTGAACTTCGTTTACTCTTTGTGTAACTTCTTTGACTTCTCTTTCCGTGTCTGTTGCATCTTTAGTCGAACTCATTGTCGTCGTAGCTCTTTGATTGTTGAGCGTCGTAGCATTTCCACCAGTTTTCTTTGGCGTTGGTCGTTCATTTCGACGTGGTGGTGTTTGTCGTCGAGACGTCCTTGAAGATGTCTGTTGAAATGCTCTTGCCGGTGGTGTTGGCGACTGAACGGCCTGAGGTGTCTGATAGTCGATTGCTGCCTGCCGTGGTGCACACAAAATGAAATGATGGTCAGTGCTTCCACACTTCTGGCATTTGAATGAACGTTGACATTGTTCGGTCGTATGGCTTTGCTGCAGGCATTTCAAACATCGGCCTTGCTCCAATAGACGAGTTTTGCGTTCTTGAGGTGTTGAATAAGTCGAGCATTGGCTTGGTTTGTGACCATTATTGCAACACAGCGAACAGAATGGTTCATTGCTTCTCCCATTGTTGTTTGCATTAAATACCGGGAATGCTCTTGTTTGTTCTATTGGACGTGGTGCTGGTCGTATTTCTTTACGTATTGGTCGTGCTTCAAATCTTTCTCTTCTATACGCTTCAGAATTATTTTGTTCTCGGGGTTGATCTCTTCTTGGTTCATCTTTAAATGCTGTCATACATTCTTCTGTCGATTGACGAATTTTGACGATATCTGCTAAGGCTTTGCGAAGGTCCTTATCATCCCATTTTCTTTTAGAATGCAGTTCCTCTGTGATGAGCTGTTGAAGAATTGCTTGAGGTAGTTTGGATTTGATGATGTTGCAGACGAAACGTTGTTTTGGGCCTCCTAGGCTTTCAAGCTGCAAACAAATTCGTTCCACTTCTTTCTGAAATTGTGACAATTCTCGAAGGTTGTTTCGAATCGGCTGTAGTTTCAAGAGTTGTGCTTCTAATTGGTCGCTAAGTTGGTCGTCGTTTCCATATTTATCCTTCAAAATTTCTTTGACGATTGGGTAATTGGTGTCTGATGGTGGGTATCCAATAATAGCTTCACGAGCTGCCGATCCTTCTCTGAGGTTTTGCAAGAGCAAAAGATGTTTCTGGAAAAGAGGGTATGGTTGTCGATCGACGGCATGTTCGAATGCTGCCCAAAATGTACGCCACTCTCTAATGTCGCCTCCAAACGTAGGTAGACGCACACTGTCGACTTTAAGAGCATTCAATGATGAAATGGTCGTTTGTGACGGTTCTTGTCGAATTCTTACTTCTGGTTCGTAAGTATCTCTGTCGTTTTGTCGTACGTTTCGTCGCTGTCGTGTCCATTCTCGTTCTTCTTCGTCGTCCGAATATAACTGACGTCTTTCTTGGTTTGGCCGAATAATATGTGTCTGTTGCGATTCGTTGAGGTTGATAGATCCTTGCGCACTTGGTGAATTATTACTGTTGCTTTCTGTCATCTGACGCATGACTCGATAAGCCTTTAGACGGTTGATTGCCTCTTCTGCCCGGTTGACCAAACTGGTAATTGGCCAATGATGTTGGATTTGATTTCTGTCTGATTTCTCGTCGTCAGTCAGGTAGTTGACTAAAAAGTTTTCTTCCTCATCTTGCTTCGCTTCGCTTAAACCTTCCATATACTGATGATAGTGACGAATAACTGATTGGAGCTTCTCGGTCCTCTGAGATAGATGTACGAGTTCCATCTCAACTTCGATTAGAATTTCGCGTTCCTCCTCTTCCGTGGGTGTCGATTTGATTTTGTCGATATACGAATCGGCATTCTTTAGACGTTCTACGAGTGACGTCACCGCTACACCGAGCTCTTGACGAAGTATTCGTGACATGTTGAAAGGTTAAGTGTCGTTAATACGTTGACGGAAGAAAAAATTAAACCAATTGACGAATTAAACCAATAGACGAATTTAGGATTTAGACGAGTTAAATAGACGATGCTGCCGAAAATAGAAGATGTTGACTGATGAATGTCGACGGCAGGTCCCGGGTCGTGGCACCAATTTTAACGGGAACTTCCTAGGTCGGGATTCCCAAAAGGGAACTAGGTCGTTCGCCGCTAAAATAAGAAGTTGGGGTTAAGGGTCTTGATGAGGTATGTCTTAATCCCAAAGATTAAGACAGGGCAATTCAAACGAGGAGGCAAAGGGTTTTAGACGGCCAAGTTTAGACGTAGACGAAAGTTAGGCGAATATTCCCAAAGAATATTAACAAAAGAACAAAGAATATTTTAATAATATTTATTTAATTTAATACAATTTTACAATTATTTGTGTGTATGGAAAAGGTGGTTGGAATTGGTAAGGATAAGGAATGATTCAAGGAAAAGCTATACTGAATGAACGAATGTAGTTGTAAGGGGAAAAAATTGGCTTAAATAGGACATTTTCAATGTGTGTGGTAAAAAATGTGGGGCAATGGCAAAAGTGGAAAAAATAGAAAAAATTATATGTTTTTTAATAAAGTTGGGCGGAAATGCACTTTCTCCCTTTTTTCCCTGTTGGATAAAATTATTAATAATTTTTAGATTGGAATTTAAGATAAAATGGATAATTTTATCCATTTATGGAAAAATGAGAGAAAGAGCAAAGTAGGCGATAACGATCACTAACAAGTGATGTCATACAAAAATAGGAACGGAAAAATTAATAATTTTATTAATTTCATCCTTCGACGAAAATTCAAGAAATTTTCGACATCTTGATTGTTTTTATCCCTAATTTTTATTGACTAGTAAGTGGGTTTTTAGTTTAAGGAAAATTTTTATGGGCTCTGTTAAATTTCAATTTGTTTTTAATTTTGTGTTCAAAATTAACAAACACCTGCCCCTGGATATATTCTTGTCGAAAACCCGGACCACCCCGAAAAAAATTTTGGAACACAAAGCTGAAATCTGACCCTACTCTTTTTTCTCAACCCGGCCCATCCCTCTGCCAGTTACCTTATCTCTCCGGCCCCCACTCCTCTCTACGACTTTTCTTTCCACAATTTTGTCGCTTGACAAGCACCAACCCCTGGCTATGCCCTTGTCATAAACTCGGACCGATCCGTAAAAATTTTTACACCCAAATCCTTCCGGCTCGCACTCCTCTCTATGGCTTCTTTCCTCATTAGGGGACATATTATAACGAGATTCCACCTTATTTTTTTAATTTTAAAGAAATCATCACTATCAAGTCGTGGTGCCAGAGAAGATGAAGATGATTAGTGAAATTACTGAGAAACTTGCAAAATTTGCGGAGGCGGTTAAAACAAGAATTTAACGAAGACTATTTTTATAATAAAGAATATTTATTTAAAAAATGCTTTTTTGGTTTTTTGAAGAAAATATTGCCATAAATTTACTTTTATGTAAATGTGAATAAATATTGAAAAACTTTATTTTCTTTAAATTTATTTTATGAAATTATCATTTTTTTAAATACCCGTAAAAAATATTCTGTTTGTCCGCAAATTTTTTGCGGACAAAATTTTTGTCCGCAAAAATTTTTTTTTTTGTCCGCAAAATGTTTCTCTTTTTTTCCGTCGTCCGCAATTTTTTCTTTCGTCTGCAATCTATTTACAAATTAATTTTTAAACTAGAAAAAATTTTTTAGCTTCAAACACACCTCTAAGCTTGTGGCATGGCTCGAGCTCACAAGTGTGATGTTTGTGGAAAACGTTTTAAAAAACGAGGAGATTTAATACAGCACAATCGAATCCACACTAATGACCGGCCTTATGTTTGCCAGTAAGTCTTTTAAGTTTCCAAAAAATTTTTTTGTCCGCAAGTTTTTGCGGACAATAATTTTTATCCGCAAGTTTCGTCCGCAAAAATTTTTCTTTTTTAGATATTGCCCAAAACGTTTTAAGCAAAAGAGCCATGTTGAACAACACGAAAGAATTCATACGGGCTCTAAACCTTTTGCATGTCAATTTTGTGGCCATCAATTTCGTCAAATATCTCAACAACTTGTACATGAGGCAACCTATCATGGAGAAAATCAACGTGAAGTTGAGGTTTAATTTTTTTAAAAATTTTTTTTGAGGATTCTTGCTATTTGTGGAAGACTAATCAGAGGTCGACCGCGGTTTTATCTCTTTAAAGAGTTTTATTTTTTTAATTTTAGGCCCCAATTACTCCTCAAAGTGCTCCTAGGTCACGTGTTCCTCAACAAACTTCTACACAAAGCACACCAAGAACTTCGGTTGTTCATCCGAAAACTACAAGACGTGCTGTGGCTTCTGCTGTTGTCCAACCTTCAACTAGTAGTAGAAGACACGATCCACCCAAAAATTCAAGGCGCCAGCCTCTGACAGGTTTACACATTTCTTTAATTCCTTAACTTAAGAGCTGAGAATCCAGTCTAGGCAGATTTCCAAATTTAAGATTTGCGATTCCTTGGGGGTTTTTTCGAATCGAGGATTTTTCTGACAAATTTTGGATACTTAAAGGAAATTACTAGAATCAACAACCCTGATTCCAAATTTAGTAATTTTGTCGTTCGCTGGTCCCCTCTTTCCCCTGACCTTTTTGGGGTTTTCCTTCCTTTTCTCCTTATTCTTCCACCTGCTTTGGAATCGGTTTAACAGTCTATAGGGGTATATTTCCCCAAAATTTATTAACTGCTATCTCTTTAAAATGTTTTTTAGAAAAACGTCGTTCCCCAACCCGTTTCATTCCAAAGCCTCAAGCACCGCAAACTGCTCCAAAGCTTAATTCCAACAAAAATTCCAGTCGTATTCAGAAATTTGAGGTTTTTTTAAATTTTTATTGATAAAAAAATATTATTTAAAGTCATCACCGCCTCCCAGCCGGCGTCATGAACGACAACGTTCTGTACCTACTCCAATTGTGCAAAAAATAGTTGTACGGCGGTTTGAGGTTAAAAAATTTTTTTATTCGATTATTGACCCCTCCTCTCTTTCTCTTTAGAAAAACGCTGGTTTTCTAATTTAATTTACTTTAGAATTGGTCTGAAAGTCCCAAAAATATTTCTATACCCCCAGAACATGATGGCAACTATTTTATTTTTTGTCCGCAAATATTGTCCGCAACTTTAAAAAATTATTTTTAAAGGTAACTACTCAATCACCACCTTCCAAACGTCAAAATCAATCTCAACAACGTCAACCTCAACAAATTCCACCAACCCCAATAATACAACAAAAAATTGTTGGTGGTGGTCGGCAACAACGAGAAGAAGAAGAAGTTGTTTGTCAACAATCTTTAACTCCTCAACAAAATAATGGAGAAATTTTAAATTTTGTTCAAAATATTTCTGAGCAGAAAGACCTCATTAAAGAAATGTTGGTTTATTTTTTATTAATTTTTAGATATTGGGGTTAAGTCCGATTTTCTTTGGGGTTTCTTTTGATTTTTGAGAATCTTTAATTTAATTTATTCAATTTTTGGGGGCTGTCCAACTTTACTTCCCACCTTGCCAAGGGGGTGTGCTAAAACGAAGTTTCGACTTTATTTCTTTGCTTTTTAAGAAATCACCACTACCAAATCATTGTGCCAGAAAAAATGAGAATTATTAGTGAAATTACTGAGAAACTTGCGAAATTTGCGGAGGCGGTTAAAATAAGAATTTAATAAAATAAAAAAATAACAAAAAAATTTTTTTTTAAAAACTTTCCATATTTCACACTTTTATTTTTAAATTTAAATGTGAATAAAACAAAGAATATTCTCTCTAAATTTCTCTCCTCTACCACATTTTTCCAAACAAAAAATTTTTCATTTTTAAAATTTTTTGTAGAAAACGATTCTGAAGACGAAAAGAAGAATCTGAAGACGACAAAAATGAGATTGAAGATGATAAGAGAAAATGAAGAAGAAAAATTGAAAGAAGAGACACTTCTAAAAAATATCCATCAAAGAAGAGAACAACAGAACAAGATGAAGGTAAATTTGAAAGTTTAGAATTAAAAAGGGAATTGAAGAAGAGTTTGAAACAACAGTGCTCGACTTCGATCTGAATTTAAAGAAGACGGTTAACTGTCCCCTACTTCCTTTAAGGCCCAGACTCCGGAAAAATCCGACCGGATCAGGTCCGGCGCCTGGCATAATTTTTAATAACTGGCGCTGAAACGTGCAGGCGCTAAACTAGACTGGCGCTGAAACGTCCACCCAGGGAGAATTACTCTAATTGTCTACCTCCTCTTCTTTTTGCAGTCTCTCTCTTCAATTATTGATTTTCTTCTCTGACCATTGCTTAGACAAGCAAAAACATGAAGGGTTAGAGAAGTCAAATTTTTATTTTTGTTCACTTTACCGTGTGAAAAAATAATTCTGACTTCTCTGACCACTACATGATTTTGTTTGTCTAAGCAATGGTCAGAGAAGAAAATCAATAAAAAAAGAGGGATAATTGGGAAATCAGAGAGACGTTGGTTTGCTTTGTTGCGTTTAATAGAGAAAAAGGTTATTGATTTGTTCACGTCTCTTGTTCATTCAATAACCTTTTTGTTTACTTTTTTGAAAAATATTTTTGTGATCGAGTCCAAAAATGAATATCACAATTTACCATTTTTTTCTAAAAACAATTTTTTTTAGTTAACAAACAATTTAAAATTGATGGAGAATTATTTCATCAATATTCTTCAACAAGTTCTTCAATAAACAACACTTTATTTCAACGCCCTCCAGTCAATGAATCATTCATTTCTCCATCAAAACAACAATGGAAAGGATTCTTGTCTCCTTCAACTTCTTCAAATGTCAACAAAAATTGTTTGAGAACAACTTCACCAGCTTGAATGATGAAACAAGCTGTTGTTTGTATATGGGAATTGGTTGCTGATGACTTCAGGTTTTATTTTTTTTTTATTTTTGTGGTCCCTTCTGGGGATGGGGGTCTTTTTGAACATCCACAGTCATACATTGATCCCTTGTCTGGATCCTGTACCTGATACATTTGTTATGATGCACCTATGCATCTGTTGATGGTGCGTCAAGGTTTTAGAAGTCCAGGTTCCCTCATTCTGTCCACCGGTGTTTTTTCCTTTTGCTGACACAAAATGGGGAATCAGGAATGGAGAGCCAGGCTTATCAGTGATCGGGATGTTCTAGGAGCGTTTTTCTGGCATTAAAAAATTTCCTTTTAACTGAATTTTTTCCTTTTATAGAAACTGCGCACAAAGCATGGCAAGAAGCAAACTGAGCAAAGACGGGGCAACATCGGTTGGCACTCCTGCAACAACACCACACATACAAGAAAAAAGAAAGGGTTTAATCCTTGAGGGGGGGGGGTATTTGCGGACAAAACTTGTCGGTTTTCGACATTTTTAAATTATTTTTTTTTAAATTTTCAAGACTGCTCTTCATGGTGGTTGGCAATGCTCTTCCTGCTGGTGGCAATGCTCTTCATATGTGGCCCCCATTGGTGAATGACTTGGTGGACCCCCTTGGTGATTGACTTGTGGACCCCCTTGGTGATTGACTTGTGGCCCTCGTGGTCCCATTGTTGATTGACTTTGTGGTCCCCATTGTTGATTGACTGTGGTCCCCATTGGTGTTTGACTGTGGGTCACATTGGGTTGGCCTTTCTCTTCCTGCTGGTGGCAATGCTCTTCATATGTGGCCCCCATTGGTGAATGACTTGGTGGACCCCCTTGGTGATTGACTTGTGGACCCCATTGGTGATTGACTTGTGGCCCTCGTGGTCCCATTGTTGATTGACTTTGTGGTCCCCATTGTTGATTGACTGTGGTCCCCATTGGTGTTTGACTGTGGGTCACATTGGGTTGGCCTTTCTCTTCATGGTGGTTGGCAATGCTCTTCATACGCCTATGTGGCCCCCATTGGTGAATGACTTGGTGGACCCCCTTGGTGATTGACTTGTGGACCCCCTTGGTGATTGACTTGTGGCCCTCGTGGTCCCATTGTTGATTGACTTTGTGGTCCCCATTGTTGATTGACTGTGGTCCCCATTGGTGTTTGACTGTGGGTCACATTGGGTTGGCCTTTCTCTTCATGGTGGTTGGCAATGCTCTTCATGGTGGTGGTCGTTCTTATCATGATGCAATTGGATGTCGTGGCAATAAGTAATGTTTGTTTTTTAATTTTTTAAACATCCGCAAGTTTTGTCCGCAAATTCAGGTTTCTTAGTTTGCTCCTATTATTGTGGGTTCCTTGGGTGTCCGTTTCACAAGTCTTTAGCGTTTTCCACTTATCACTCACCAACAAGCTTCAACACTTCTGTATTTTTTGGAAAGAATGGCACGGGTGGTGTTTTACTTGGAAAACATTTTGCTGCAGACTTGGTTTTTATTTAAATGACGAACAGCTTGCTCGACTTCCAATTAGAATGTCTATGGATTCGAACTTAAATATAGAAGCGAAGCTGCAGAGTTCATTCAGGTTTTTAATTTGTGTCTTATGAAATGAAATTTTGTTTTTTAGGAAATGGCTGAACGGTTTAATCATAACATTCCACAACACAGAGGACATCCGGCAAAGCTGCATTCGCTTCAACAAGAGGACAATTGCTTGGTTGCATTTATCTGGCTTGTGATTATGAAGTGTGAAAGGTTATTACAGTGGTGCACAAAAGTAATGCCCGCTACATGTAAATTTTCGATTTCAACTTGTCACCGGTCCATTTTATATTTAAAAATTTTTTTGTTTTTCCTAAAATAAACTATTTTTTATGGGCTTTAATATGACTACAAACTTTAGGCTGAAAAAATTAGAAAAAATATTTTTTGAAAATTTTAAAGATTTTGACTAAATTTTTCATGGTGCAAAAGTAATGCCCGCTATTTATTTTCGACGGAAAAAATAAAAATAGGCCAATATTTTGGTTTTATTTTTTTTAATTATAGAATATTAAGTAAAAATAAACAGAAATAACATTAAAAAAGCAATAATGAATTCAAAAGACCGAGGTAAAGCTCAGAGGCATTTTGGGGGCCAAAAGGGGAAGGGGGTACGTTTGGGGCCATAACTAACCCGAGGATGCTAGCCAGGTCCTGAAACTTTACCATTTGCTAGCTAGGAGGCTTGCCAAGAAACCCACTAAGTATGAAGTATATCAAGCTTTGCGCCTTCAAAAGGTGGTTCAAGATCAACACCAGTCCGTGGAGCAGTCATGAGGGTGTTACGGAGTAATGAAAATCTTTTTAATTTTCACGGTCCTGATGGGGGAAATTACATTCTGGAGCTTCGAAACGATCGCTATTATCTAAAAAATATGAAAGATGCTGGTGGAGGAGTCTTTGAATGGGTTAATAGACACTTAATATTTTGGGCCAATTTACACTCATTTCCCAGATGCCTTTCTTGCAATGGCGTTAGTCCGTATGTAGAAATTTCTGGCAACATAAATGCTCCTATGTACCGCAACATTCTGCTGAACAAAATGATACCTCATAATCGGAAAAAACTTGCACCTTGTTAGAAATATATCCAAGAGTATGCCCCCTTCCCCTTTTGGCCCCCAAAATGCCTCTGAGCTTTACCTCGGTCTTTTGAATTCATTATTGCTTTTTTAATGTTATTTCTGTTTATTTTTACTTAATATTCTATAATTAAAAAAAATAAAACCAAAATATTGGCCTATTTTTATTTTTTCCGTCGAAAATAAATAGCGGGCATTACTTTTGCACCATGAAAAATTTAGTCAAAATCTTTAAAATTTTCAAAAAATATTTTTTCTAATTTTTTCAGCCTAAAGTTTGTAGTCATATTAAAGCCCATAAAAAATAGTTTATTTTAGGAAAAACAAAAAAATTTTTAAATATAAAATGGACCGGTGACAAGTTGAAATCGAAAATTTACATGTAGCGGGCATTACTTTTGTGCACCACTGTAATTCTTTTTCGGAGCTTTTAACTAGAATTATAGTAACTATAATTAGGTCCCCAAATTCAAAATTCACATTTGTATATAGAGAAAAAATTTTCGTTATCATAATGGCAGTTGGTTAAGTTGGTAGCGTTGCCGATTATATGTGAGTAGGGTACGGGTTCAATACTCTGAGGGGTTTCCTTTTTATTTTGCATCAAATAATTATTTTCTTTTAGATTTGAGCCCAATTGATGACGACGACCCTTTGGACAATTTTTTGGTGTTGCTTTGGCTTACAACAACATGCTCCTGAAACCCCGGCTTGAAAGGTTATTTAATGAGTTTAAGAATTCTTTCAAAAAAATTTTTTTAACATGTTCAACTGCGGGTGGACAAACTCTTTGGTTGGACGATCCTGGCCAAGACAGACAAGAATTGGCGGCTTATGGTTGTGAAATTTTGAGAAGGGAAGGAAGGCGTGATTGAGACAATGTTAGTTCATTAATTTTTTTTAGTTGAGGGGTTTTTTCTGAGTTGATTTCTGAACGGCTTTGGGAGTTTCAAATTTCCGATACAATTGAATGTATCTGTTTTTTCTTTTAATTGGTCCCAACACATAGTCTAAACTCCTCGGGGACATACTCGCATTCCCCAAAGACATTTGAAACCGTAATTTATTTATTTTTCTTTGAGGGGTTTTTTGAGTGGACCATCATGCTCCTTCAGTCAGCTCCGATTTTTCCCTTTGACGACAATGGATAAATCGGTGAGTCAAGTCTATCAGTGAATGAAAAACTTTCGGTTTAACCGGTCCTGTCCAGCCCTACATCCCGCCTTCAAATGTGGTGTACTGAAGCTAAGTTTTGATCTTATTTTTTTGCTTTTAAGAACTTATCACTACCAAATCGTTGTGCTCGAGAAGATGAGAATTATACGAGAAATTACTGAGAAACTTGCAAAATTTGCTGAGGCGGTTAAAACAAGAATTTAATTCAATGAAGAATAACCAGTAAAATTTATAACAAAACAGCTTTTCTGGTCTTTTACTATTGAGTAGCACCCCGTCCCCCGAAACCCTGATCGGACCCCAAATGAATTTTTAGGCAAAAACCTCGACCCGAACCCTCCGAAGGCTTAACCCCCGACAAACCCCGAAACCCGACACGGGTGCTACCCTTTATTAAAGAAAACTTCATGTTTTTATTTTAAATTTAAAAGTAAATAAAAAGAGAATATTCTCTCTAAAATTTATTAAAAAATTAATTATTTTTTAAATACAATATAAAATTTATTTTTTAATGAATATCAAAATGAATCACAACAACCCTGAGAAGATTTAAATGAGAGAGAAGAAGGAAATTTGATTTTAGAGAATTAAATGATGATCTGTTGAGAGAGTAGATTGACTAATAAAAATATTTGGGGATATTTTAAGTATTTTTTATGGATATATATTGAGAAGAATTTCTGGTCCTAACCTCAAGTTGAGATTTTCAAAAAAATTTTTTTTTGAAATTTTTTTTTCAAAATTTCCTCAACATTAAGGGTAGGCCACGAAGACGCAAAAAAAATTTTTTTGGCAGGAAATATTTTTCCAAAATTTAAAATAAGTCAGTAGGCCAGCCCTAGAGGTGTATTTGATTAGTCCGCAAAAACTTGCGGACAAACATTTTTTTGCGGATAAAATTTGCGGACTAAGAGGGGGCCAGGCAACCCTGAAAAACACCCTAGCAATGCTCTAGAACACTAAAAATGTTAATTAGAACTCTAGGGCTATGGCTAACAAAATAAAATGTTTAAATTTTGTTATCTTTCTCCACTCATTATACGCAATTGTTCATCCAAATGTTGTTGCTGAAATTGTTGTTGGTGATGTTTTGACATTGCAGACATTGCTAGTAAACTATCAACTGCTGCATTTCTATAAGAAAAATTTTTTTTGAGAGTTTTTTAAGTCTGCAAAAAATTTTGCGGATTTTTCATTTAGTCCGCAAAATATTTGCGGACTTTTTTTAATTTGTCCGCAAAATTTTTTGCGGATTTTTTTTTATTGTCCGCAAAAAACTTGCGGACAAAAAATTTTCTTGCTGACAAAAAAATTTTTTGCGGATAAAATTTGCGGACTAAGAGAAAATAACCAGGAAACCCCAGAAAAACTTTCTTCTTTTACCTTTCCATTTGTTGGTGATGATGAAAACCTCCTCCTCTTCCCCCACCACCATTTCCATCTTCAACAGCAGCTCTAAGCAATCCATTAAAAGAAGAAGCCATTTGCTGTTGTGCTGCTGCAGCTATAGCTATTGTTGAGGTTGAAGGGGAAGAATTTAAAGAAGATTGTTGTTGCTGTTGATGATGTTGTTGTTGTAAATGCCCTCCATTTAGAGATGATGCAGCGGCTGCGGCAGCTGCGGCGGCGGCTGCTGCTGCGGCTAAATGGTCGGAAGATGAAGAAAGTGGTGAACTCTGTGTTTTAAATTTCTAAAAAAATTTTAAAAATTTTTTGGGAGAAATTTTTGGGACGGACGTTTCTTAGGTTTTGAATTTTGCGGACAAAAAATATTTGCGGACAAACACTTGCGGACAAAACTAATTTTCTAGAAATTGGAACAAACAGGTGATAGATACTATATTCTTAGGTGTCCCACCCCTATCACATGATCTTTTTTATTTTATTAACACAGAAACGTTTTTGCGGACATGTCCGCAAATATTAGTCCGCAAAAGTTACGAAAAATTTTTTTAGTTTTATTCAAAACTTTTCTAATTAAAAAAAATTTCGTTCCCATTAAAATAAGTTTTTTAATATAAAAAATTTTTTTAAAATTTTCCAAATCTTTTAAAATTAAAAACCTGTTCTGAAGATAAAGAATTATGCAAATCAGATGCAGCTGAACTATTTGCCCCATTCATAACTATTTGACCAAAAGTATTATTATTAGAGTCTGCAGAATGTTGTTGTTGTTGTTGTTGTGGTGGTCTCTTTAAATTTTAAATTATTTTTTATAATTTTTAAGTAAAAAATTAAATAAAATTAAAAAAATTGAAAAAAAATTTTTCGCGGACAATATTTGCGGACAAAAATTTGCGGACAAAAATTTTTCCAAAAAAAATTTTGAAGTCGTAATTCTCACCATATAAAGGTGTGAATAGATATGGACGTCTTTACAGACGTCTTTCAAATTTCTTTAGCTTAGGTTTGTAAAAATAAAAAAAAATTTTTTGCGGACAATATTTGCGGACAGAAAATTTGTCCGCAAAAATTTGCGGACATAAAAAATTTCCGTTTTCTAATAAACTTTAAACATCTTTCCGAGAATTTCAAAAAATCCCCAAGACATTAAGAATTCTCTTAAAAATAGTTTAAAATTAATTAAATACTTCAACACGTTGATCTCCTCTGTGTAAATGTGTTGCTTCATGCCCAAGTTGTTGAGATCTTTGACGAAATTGTCGGCCACAGAATTGACAAGCAAAAGGTTTAGAACCAGTATGAATACGTTCGTGTTGGTCAACATGGCTCTTTTGTGTAAAACGCTTTGGACAATAACTAAAAAAGAAAAAAAATTTTGCGGACAAAACTTGCGGACAATTTTTTGTCCGCAAAAAATTTGCGGACAAAAAATTTTTCAGTTTTTAAAAAAAACTTACTGGCACATATAAGGCCGATCATTAACGTGGATTCGATTGTGTTGTTGTAATCCTCCTCGAGCTTTAAATCGTTTCCCACAAAGATCACACTCATGAACTCGAATCATACGACAATCTTCAAGATGTAATTGGAGCTAAAAATAAATGAGTTTATTTTTAATAAATGGGTGGTTATTTTTTGCGGATAAAAGAAAAATTTTGTGGGTAAAAATTCTTGTAGACAAATGCTGGGGACAGAAAAATTTTTGCAGACAAAATTTTTTTGTCCGCAAAAAACTTGCGGACAAAAAAAATTTTTTTGCGGACATCAATTTTCAAAAAAACTCACAGCATTTTGCCCAGCCAACTTTTTCGGACAAAAAGAACATTTAATCAAATCCACTCCAGATCGAACACTTCTTTTAACTGTAGAAGAAGAACTAATTGATTGTCTCTGTTGTTGTTGTTGACCAGAAGAAACACTACTACACGTTCTATTTTCAACAACAACATTTCCTCCAGGACGTAAATGTTGTGAATGTGAATATGGAGTAAATAAAGAAGAAGAATTTTGTTGTTGTTGTTGTGAATCTTGTTGTTGAGAACGTATAATTGTTGTTGTTGTTGAATTTGTTGGGGGAAAGGCAACAAATGAGGCAGCTGCTGCAGCGTTTGAACAACCAAATAAATTATTCATTTCATCCGGGAAGTGGGCTAAAAAATAATTATTTTAATTTAAAAAAGGTAATTGAAAAAAAGGTTAGTATTTTTGTTGCGGACAATATTTGCGGACAAAAAATTTTTTGCGGACAATATTTGCGGACAAAAAAATTTTTGCGGACTGAATACTTTTTGCGGACAAAAAATTTTTTGCGGACGATATTTAAATAAAAATTTAAAAAAAAAATTTGCGGACAATTTTTGCGGACAAAAAAATTTTTTTTGAAAAATATAAAAAATTATTCACTTTAAATATCAACACACACTTAAAACCAAAATTTTTTTAATGTAACATTTATTTTAATTAATTAAATTATTTAAGTGTGTGTTTTATTTATTTTGTTTTTGTGTGTCTATTTAAGACCAAAAATTAAAAATTTGTGGAGGCCACAATAAAATATTTATTTATGTAAGTGATTGAAAAAAATTTTTTAAAGAAGACAACCTTTAAAAAATTTTTTTACAAAATTTGGGAGACGAAAAAAAAATTTTTTTTTTCAAAAAAAAATTTTTTTACAGCGCTTATCAAATTAAAAATTAAATTTAAAAGAAAAAATGTTGCTAAAAACTAAAAATTAAAATTATGAGAGGTCAAAGAAAATCCCTATAAGTTGTTCTCTAAAGAGTGTTGATGATCTTTTGCGAGATTTTTGAAATTAAATTATCTGCCACCTCCCTCTAGATAGGTACTAAAAATATCATATATAGGGCAATAAGAGGTGCTGATTCGAACGGTACCAATATTTTTTCCGGATATGCTTGTGGACTGAGATACAGGGCTCGAAATGGTCAAAAGCCATAGGGGGATTTTAGGGTCAAAAAATTTGAACATACAAATGATAGCTCATTCGACCGAAAAAAAAGATTGGTATCGTTCGATTAAGCACCTCTTATTACCCTATATATGACACATTTGGTACCAATTTAGGGGGAGGTGGCAGAACGGAAAAGTATCAAGCAGCCCGAGCCTTTGGGAGTGGGTAGAGCCTTCGGAGTTCAGGTCGTTTTGCCTAAAAATTCGTCGTTGGCTGGGGTTCAGGGGACGGGGTGCTACCCTAATTCAAATAAATATTCAATCAAGTCTTAGATTGGGAAGGTATTTAATCGTTGGGAATATTATTTTCAAAAATAAATCTCTTTAATGCTTGTATAAAAAAAGGGGATATTTGTGTTAAAATGGGTATAAAAATAAAAATGTCACAAGAAAAATATTAAAAATGTCTGGAGAAAGAAGGTTACTGTAAAATAAATATTTATTCCCCGTTAAGTAAGGCCCACTCCCGACCCTATAACTCAAGAAGGGATGGTCACTTCTATATATTCTTGGTACCGTTGGATAGAGAATTAAATAGGCTACAAGATATCAAAAAATCAGAATTCTAGATTGAATGACAGAAAAGTTATGATCCAAAAACTTAACTTTTTCTTTAAAAAAAAGTGATCTTTCGGCACTTTATCGATCCTAACTTTTTTATAAATCAAGCGAAAATTTTGATTTTTTGCTATCTTGTAGTGTATTTAATTTTCTATCTAACGGTACCAAGAACACTAAAAAATATTCGCCCCTTCAAAAGTTATAGGGCTCGGAACTCAACCGAGTGGTGTACTCTACTGAGGTATACCCAAATAAATTAATTTTAATTTTTACAGTAAAAATAAAAAATAAACTTGAATTTAAAGTTTATTTTTACCACTATAAAAAGAATAAATATTTAATAAATTAATATGAATAATAATTATTATATGTACTGTTAAGGTATAAAAATAATAATTTATTAATATTAATAGTCACGCAAAAATATATGCCATATATAAAATTAATTTTCTTTTGGGTAATTTTTAGGTAAAAAAATATTTTTTTAAAGTTTAAAGTTTTTTAAGATAATAAATTTTAGATAGTCTCTAATCTCAATTTAAAAACCGCCTCCCCTTTGGAGTTGGAACCAGGGATGTCCGCAAATGAAAAAAAATTTTCCGCAGCCGCAATCCGCAGCAGAGTCCAAAAAACCAAGCAATTTATGCAGTACGCAATTACGGACATCCCTGCTGGGAAAATATCATACCATTTAAAAATGAGGTCTATTTTAAACTGTGGGAATCACTTAAAGACAGATCACTCACTCAGTAGCGCTGATTAAAAAAACGCATTTTTTTAAATTAAGGAATATCTAATTTTGGGTGTTTATAAAAAAAGAGGTTTTACTAAATCAGAGCACCTACATATCAACCTTATTTTTTCTAGTGTTAATTTTATGCCTTATATTAATTGGGGGGAGGGGGCTGCTGTAGGCTCGCAATAGGTATTTAAAAATATTTTTTAAATTAAAAACTACTACCTCCAGCATAACTAGCAGCGGCTAATTGAGATTGCATATTAGCGAAATCTATTAATTGTTGTTGGGGAGGAGGGATCATTTGTACTACTCCTTGTTGTTGTTGTTGATGATGGGGATGTTGTTGTTGTTGTTGATGATTATTATTTTGATTAATTGATCTACTTCCTAATAAATTGTTGAGCTGGAAAAATAATAAAAATTTACGACTACCCAAAAGATATGGGAGATTATAATTGGGGGCATTATAAACAGATCGGATATGGGGGGATTATAATTACAGATCGGACCGAAACGAGGACTCTCGATCAAAAGCCTCGGTTATCAAAATCAACAATATTTTTTTTGAGAATTTTCGAGAATCCAGATTTTTTCGAGTTATCTAGCTCGATTCCTGTTCGACCTTTTCCAGACTGACCTCTAATTATAATGTCAACTATAAAAAATTTGTGGCATAAAATTAAAAGTCTTATTGGTGTGCCCAATTTCTGCCTATACCAATGCTGAAAATGTACTCTGAAAATTCAGAAAGATCTCCCAAAAAAAATTTTAAAAAATTGTTTAGTTTGTAAGTTTTGGAGAGTGTTTAGGGGACAAATAATGTTCACCAGAAAAAAAATTTCAAAAAAAAATTTCAAAAAAAAATTTCAAAAAAAAAATTTCAAAAAAAAATTTTTTTGAACGTTTTGGAACTCAAATTTTTTTTCGAAAATTTTTAAAATTGAAAAAAATATTTTAGGAATTTTTTGAAAATTAAAAAAAAATTTTTTTTTGGCTCAGTAATAAAAAAAAGAAAAAAAATCTCCCAAAATTTCTCCACATCCGAGAAAAAAAATTTAAAAAAAAAAAGCTAAACAAACGTTTAAAAATTTTTTCCTTAATTTTATATATTTATAAAAATATATATTTGTATGGATGAAGTAAAAAAAATTTTTTTTTGAAATTTTGAATTTAAAAAAAATTTGGGAAAATCAATTTTTAATGAATTAATTTTTAGGGTGGTGGAATTTAATTAATTAAATATTTAATGTTTATTTTAAATTTGAAAATTAAAAAAAAATACAGAAAAAATTATAGGACCCTCTAAAAATCGGACCTACTAATTAGAAGGCCCTAACCACTCTTCAGACATAGGAGGCAAAAGAAAGTGGAGAGTAGGGTTGGCGGATGTCGAATAATGAGAAATCCTCGAATATCCGATATCCGGACAGAAGGATCTCCAAACTTTTTTCGGGCCGTGATATTCTTAAAGAAATTTTAAAAATTAGGCCTAGACTTATTAAAAAGTCTTTGGGATCCGGATCCGCCAACACTAGTAGAAGTTGGCAACTTTTTTGCAATTTTGGTCAAGTGGATAAAGGCGCTGACTACAAAATTGACTTTAAATAAAGGGTCGAAGGTTCGAGTCCTTTCACTTGTATTTTTCAAATTTAATATTTTAAAATATTTATTGACTTATCCTAAGTTCCTAAACGACTTTTAAAAATCAAAAAAATTTTTTTTACCAAAGTTGTGGGTGATTGGCAATTATTTAAATTTCCTCCTCCACTAATTGAAAGTCTTCCTCCTTGTCTTCCATTTCCTTCTCTTCCCCCTCCATTTTCTTCCATTTCTAATTGTTCATTACTTCCATTACTACATATAGATTGTGCTGACCCAGTAGAATGTAAAATACGAGAAGATGAATTTGTTGTTGAAGAAGATGAATGATGCTGGTTGTGTTGTTGTTGTTGTAAGGCCATCATTGGCCAGTTTATTGGAGCAAATTAAATTTATTTATTTATTAAAAAATAATTAAAATTGTTGGAGCAGTCTTCTAAGTAAATAAATTTGAGAAACTTGAAGGGTTTGTGTTTATCTTAAAAATTAAAAAATAAATTAGTTGGTCATATTTAGAGGGGGGAGGGTAAGAGAATGGAAGGGGCTGTCGTAAGCAGGGCTGTCCACAAGTGAGAAAAAAAATTTCCACAGCCGCAATCTTCCGCAGCCGCAATCCGCAAGTTTTATTTTGAGATCCGCAGCCGCAATCCTCAATCTGCAAGTCAAAAAAACACGCAATTTCACGCAATCTGCAATTGTGAACAGCCCGGGTCGTAAAAGAATCGAGTCCCATATCTCGAAAAAAATATGGGGATGCTCGATAATCGAGAGAGTTTTGTTCGAGATCTCGTCCAAAACTGATCTCTGTAGCATTTAAATAAATAATTTTAAAATAAATAAAGAATATTTTCAATTTCATTACAAAAATAATTAAAAAACGGAAAACACAAAAACATAATAATAAATTTAAAAATTAGCATTTAATAATTGCTAATTTAGAAATTAAATTTAAAACATTAAATAAAAATTTTTTTTTTAATTTCTACGTTTATTCCCCAATATTGTTTTTATTTTTAAAATAAAGAATTAAAAATCATTTTTAGAAAAAAAATTTAAAAAATTAAAAAAAATATTTTTTATGTTGCTTCCTAAAAGATTTTTGATTTAATAAAAAAAATGAAATTAAAAAAAAAATTAATTTTTGCAAAATTTAAACACAAAAAATTTTTTTTGAAATTTTTTAAAATTTTGGTTTATGTCATCAAAAATTATATATAAAGGTATACAATTTATTAATTCTTTAATAATCAAAAAAAATCTTTTTTTAATAGATAATAATAAAATGGAACCAAAAAGCTAAGAAGAAAATTAAAAAAAAAATAGCTAAAACTGGACTGGAGAGCAGAGAGTTGTTCCGAAATTTCGATTTTCGAAGTTATTTCCCTTTCGATTTTAAAGAATTTAAAAAATATTTTCGATTTCGAAGATTTTTTTAGTTTCGAAATTGCTGGGAAGATCCGTAAGAGAATCGTACTACGAAATATCTTGAAAAAGTCTCAACTTCAATTATCAAAAAATGATTGTTCGAGATCTCGTCTCGGTATAGTTTCTAGCTCAAAATACCAAAAAATAATTTTTTTTAAAGGTTAAAAAAAATAATATAAAAATAGGAACAGGAATTTTCTAAAGGTAATTTTTAAAGAAAGAAAATTCAAAAAAAAAAATGAGGTTGAATAAATCATTTAAAAATTTTTTTAAGTCAAAAAAAAATAAAAAATTTATAATTTATCTGGTTGGCATTTTATATATTTTAAAAAATTTTTGTATAAAATGGGAAAAAGTCAGAATGCCAAAAATAGAAAAAAAATTTTTTTCCTTCTTTTTTTTAGTTCAAAAAATTAAAAAAACTTTAAATACTCTACCATTAAAATCAAAAAAAGAACAAAAAAATTCAAAGAAAAAATTTTTTTTGGGAGGATAAAATGTCATCGTGTCTAATTATAAATTTTATAGTTAATTTCAGACATTTTATCCCACACGAAAATACAAAAAAAAAATTTTTTTGGTAGAAAAAGGTAGAAAAAAAGCAGAAAAAATGACTTAAAAAATTAAACTATACATATTTATTTTTTTATTTTTTTTTAAATTAAAAAAGATTTTTTCTGAATCCTTTAATGAATCATAGTGTTAAAAAAATTTCTGGATTGGACTGAGAGAGAGAGAATAAATTAAATTAATTTTTCAAAAAAAATTTTTTTTGGGACAAAATGGCTGAATAAATACAGTCAAATCACGATATGGGAGAGAGAGCGACCAAAGTTCTACCCACAAATTTTACGTATATACTATCTCGGATTTATTTCCAACATCCAGAGTCTCATTGGCACAATCGGTTATAACCAATAAAAACCAACTTAAATTTCTTTAAATCGCAAGGGCGTAAGTATAATCGAGGATTTATTTTAATAATGTGAAAGGACCTGAGGATCGATCTCATAAGAAAATATTCCAAAAAATTCCCAATGACGACAACAAGACTTAGTTCCTTAATAATCCTCAAGGGCTTCAGTATAATCGAGGACACACGACTGTAACAAAATTCTAGACAAGAGGCAGAACCCCTTCTTGAAAAACCCCTTCCCCAATAACTCAAGACTTTTTACCCACTCAACCAAAAAATTTTTAATAAATTTTTTGAAACACAATGGCCCAAGTATAGACTTAAGGTTAGGTCTCATGAGTTTAAGAGTTATTGAAACTCGGAAATATTCCGAAAATTTCAAAATGACGGAGACGAGACTTAACTTCATAATCCTCAAAGGCCTCAGTACAATCGAGGACACGACTATATTAGGATTCTAGACAAGAGACAGACACCCCTTTCTTGAAAAAGCCCCAATGACTGACGAGTTTTTAGACTAGACTTAATTCCCCCTTCTCCTGTCTGGCACTTAATTTTTAAAATAAAATTTTTGGTTTGCAGAAAAGACAAAATCTTTTTTTTTAATCCCTTTTTTATAAGAAAAGCTATTAAAGATATTATATAAGTAGAAATATGACGTAAACTAGTAGACAGTAATACAATATTCCCTCCCAAAAAACGCATAGCAACTAAAAAAAAAATTTTTTTTTTGCAAGAACAAAAATTAAATAAAAATTATATTTTTAAAAGTAATTTAAAAAGCTGTCGTCAATTTTAGATTAAAATTAAAATACAAAAAAATACTTCCTTAATTAATAATTTAAAAATTAAAATTTTAATTACTCACGTGTTGAGGTAATTTTCTCTAATAGGTATTAATTAATTCAGAATTAATTTATTATTTAAATCAGAATTATTAATTTATAAAGACTAATTAAAGAATTAAAAATTAAATAAATGTCGGAATATTTAATTCTGATACCTATTTAAAAACCAGAATTATTTAAATACCAGAATTATTTAAATATCAGAATTATTTAAATATCAGAATTATATAAAAATCAGAATTATTTAAATACCAAAATTATTTAAATACCAGAATTATTTAAATATCAGAATTATATAAAAATCAGAATTATTTAAATATCAGAATTATATAAAAATCAGAATTATTTAAATACCAGAATTATTTAAATATCAGAATTATATAAAAATCAGAATTATTTAAATACCAGAATTATTTAAATATCAGAATTATATAAAAATCAGAATTATTTAAATACCAGAATTATTTAAATATCAGAATTATATAAAAATCAGAATTATTTAAATACCAGAATTATTTAAATACCAGAATTATTTAAATATCAGAATTATATAAAAATCAGAATTATTTAAATACCAGAATTATTTAAATACCAGAATTATTTAATAATCAGAATTCAAAAATTTAAAAATCTAATAATTCTGATTGATACAACGATAATATTAAATCAGAATTAATTAGAAGAATTCTGATATTTATTTAATAATTATGATTAATAAATATCAGAATATTTAATTCTGATATTATTTAAAGCTTAAATAAACAATATCAGAATTAGTATAAAAGCAACTTTATGGGTTTAATTGAGTCTAGGTTATTTTATAGAATTTTAAAATATAAAAAAAAAATTTTTTTTTAATTTAGCTATTATTTTTATTTAAAAAATAAAAAAAAATGTAGTATGTGTATTTATATTTTTATCTTTTAGCCTTTGGACTTTTTTTTTATTTTTGGTCTAAAATTGAGCTTTGCAATATTTTTAATGCAAAAGGAAAAGCCTTCTAAAAATAAAAGAAAGAGGGAGAGACAATATTTTTTTTCTTTTATTATTGAGGGTAGGACACACTTCTACAGGTTATCGCAGGAGAATTTTTGTCCCAAAAAAAATTTTTTCCAAAAAAATTTTCCAAGATAAAAATTTTTTCCGAAAAACTTTAAAATTGACACCAATATATTTTTCTAAAATGGACGAGAAAAAATTAAAAGTAAAATAAATATAAGAGATATTGAACTAAAACAAACAGATTTTGAGCTGCGCATAAATAGCAGATCGCGGCTATGGACAAAAATATAAAAAAAATTTTTTTGAGTTGCGCGAAGCACGATTGTTGTGGTTTGCAGAATTGGAGTTGCGGAAAAAAAATTATTTTTTATGATTGAGGAACAATTTTAAAAAATTTTTCTTTTAAAAATTTTACGAATTTTATATTGAAAGTTACTAAAATTAAATTTTAAATTAAAAAAAAATTTTAAAAATGAATTAATAAAATAAAATATATAATTGTAGTAAAAATTATATACATATTTAAATACCCCAAGTCTTTAAGATTAAGACCAAAAAAATATTAATTTTTATATTAAATTTAATTTCCATTAAAAAAAAACGAAAATTTATATAGTCTCAATTTCCCTCTCCCTTTAATGCTTCTAATTAAATCTAAGTAGAAAAAAGGGGCGGGGCGTGTCTCTCGACATTTTAAAAAAATGATTTAAGTAGAAAAAGAGAGAGAGATCATTTTCATCTCTCTTTTCATGTCTAGCCGGATTTGCAGAAAAAAAAATTTTTTTTTGTAGAAAGTAATTAAGAAAATATTAAAAAAAATTTTTTATAAGCTGGGGCTAAATGGAAAAAAAATTTTTTTTAAAGAAGCACAAAAAAAGAAGAGAGAAAATAAAGCTCATGGAAAATAGAGAGAGCACAAAGAGCAAAGACAGCAAAAAAGACATGGCAGCGGGTGGCCGTAAGTAGAAAAAAAATGAATGAATGATGACGACAAATGTGCACAAAAAATATGTATTTTAAGCAGAAGCACTCCTCCAAGTATTTTAGCATTTTAAAAAAGCTGGTAAGAGAGAGAGAAAGGGTACAAAATGTGAAAGGGACAAAATGTGGAATGGACAAAAAGTCACAATGATAAAATGCAAGACTCAAGTGTCGAAGAAGGTGAAAGTAAGATAAAACAGAGAAGAACGGGGCCCAGACTCTAATGTCTACCCGTAGACTCCAATGTCTTTTTGTGATCATTAGAGTCTAGCCCAAAGAAGACTGGTTTTCCTCAAGAAACCCTTAGGTAAAGACAGACATTTTGTCAAAAATTTGCCTTATTGGCATTTTGTCGCATAGGCATTTTGTCAAAAATTTGCCTTATTGGCATTTTGTCGTCTAGACATTAT